TCGAGCGGGGGACACCGGGGACACTGGGTCAGGGCCGGCCCGGAGGTCCCCTCCTGTCCCCGAGGCCTCTTGGTGTCCCCCAAGCCCACCCCAACTGCTCCTGAAGGACCCAGACGGGGGGGGGGAGATGAGGACTGGATCCCACTCCCCACCCCTGGTCACAGTCCCATGTCACTATGTTTGTCCCCGAGGTCTACCCGTTGTCCCCAGGGTCCCAACATTGTCCCCAAGGTCTCCTCCTGTCTCTACTCCCACCCTGACCTTAATGAACCAAGAAGCACCATAGCTTCATCTTAGTCCCAACCCTAGGTTCCCACGCTGTCCCCGAGCTCCCATCCTGTCCCTGAGGTCTCCTCCCGTCCCCAAGGTCCCCATGCTGTCCCCACCGTCCCCTCCTGCCCTTGAGGTCCCCACACTGTCCCCGAGGTCCCCTCCCATCCCTGAGATCCCAACACAGCCCCCAAGATCCCCATGCTGTCCTCAAGTTCCCTTCTCATCTCCAAGGTCCCCACGCTGTCCCCAAGGTCCACCCCCATCCCTGAGGTCCCCACGCTGTCCCCAAGGTCCCAGAAGTCCCCTCCCCACCTCACCTTGGCCTTGACGGTGCCAGGGGGCAGCTTGTCGAGAGAGATGGTCAGGGGAAAGATGACCTCGTCCGTGGACACGATGGGGTCCTCCACCGGCATCTGGCGTCACAGTGGGGCTCAGCCACGGTGGCCCCCTCCCCGTCCTGTGTCACCTCCCCTGTCCCATGTCCTCCCCCTTATGTCTGCCCTGAACCCACATCTGCCCTGTGTCCCTCCCTTGTCCCCCATGTCCCTCTATATCTTCCCTCGTCCCCACGTCCCTCCCGTGTCCCCCCGTATCTGCCCTTGTCCCCATCTCCCTCCTTTGCCCCCACGTCCCCTTGTCCCTCCCATGTCCCCCCATATCTGCCCTTGTCCCCATCTCCCTCCTTTGACCCCATGGTCCCTTGTCCCCACATCCCTCCCGTGTCCCCCCGTATCTGCCCTTGTCCCCATCTCCCTCCTTCGCCGTGTCCCCTTGTCCCCACCTCCCTCCCGTGTCCCCCCGTATCTGCTCTTATCCCCATCTCCCTCCTTCGCCCCGTGTCCCCCCGTATCTGCCCTTGTCCCCATCTCCCTCCTTCGCCGTGTCCCCTTGTCCCCACCCTGGTCCCCACCTCCCCCCTGCTCCGTGTCCCCTTGTCCCCACCTCCCTCCCGTGTCCCCCTGTATCTGCTCTTATCCCCCTCTCCCTCCTCCGCCCCGTGTCCCCCCGTATCTGCCCTTGTCCCCATCTCCCTCCTTCGCCGTGTCCCCTTGTCCCCACCTCCCTCCCGTGTCCCCCCGTATCTGCTCTTATCCCCATCTCCCTCCTTCGCCCCGTGTCCCCCCGTATCTGCCCTTGTCCCCATCTCCCTCCTTCGCCGTGTCCCCTTGTCCCCACCTCCCTCCCGTGTCCCCCCGTATCTGCTCTTATCCCCATCTCACATCGGAACACCG